ACTTTCTGGCTTCTACTGTAACCCTTTCTCTTCTCAACCATTCGCTTGATGAATAGCTTCACCTACTGTTCCAGTATCATGAGGAACCAAAGGTACCCCAAAGAGGTTGAAGGTTACCTACTCTACTACTAAATTTAACAATTTTTGAGGATATATTGAACCTTTAGCTGGATACTATTGCTAACTATTCCGAGCCCTGCACTAGCCGGCCCTCAGGACCTTACGAATTCAGAAGCCTTAATCGATACCATTATTGTTCCCTGGGGCTCATTATTATACTTGTCCTACAATACACTATACTATACCTCGAACCCTATTCTAACATCCTTGGGGCTCATTATTATACTAGTCCTAAAATACACACTAGATTCTGCCTCAAACCCCATTCTAATATTCGAGGCCCCCATAAAGCTCGGCCTCCGGTGGCGAGGCAAGCTTCTTGGATGGCTTCCTTGGCTGTCGGGAACTCAAGGCAGCTCTGCTTAGGGGGGGGGCGGGNNGGGGGGGGGGGGGGGGGGTTGCGGAGGTTCTGTCAGGATTACTGTAAGGGCTACTGGAGTTACTATAAGGGGAAAAAAGTGTAAGGTGTACGGGTTTTAGGGTCTAGGGGCTTCAGCGTCTGAGGGTTTAGGGTTGTGGGGGAACGGTTTCAAGGTCCAGGAGGTTGGGTGAAAGGCGAAGGGATAAAGGGCTCTTGTTTTGGTTCCCTCGTGGGTTCGAGTCTGCGGCTTGAGGCTTAGGTTTTTGGGGGGTTCACAAGGTAACTCAAACAGCAGGACTGTGATCGTCCACGAGCTCCTAGCTGGATCTGCTAGACTCGTCATGACGAAGTAGTTGCTGCCGTCAGGCCGGCAGGCCATCGGTTATGAACGTCTAAGATGGAGGCCGAAGAATTACCAAGACTCGTCCTTAGGGCTCCAGCTCCAGTTATAGTACATGGTCGGATATCACCCTATAAACTCGGTTTAAGGTTTAGGGCTTAGGGTTTACGAAAACCCTATAATTATAAAGCCCTATAAGTCCGGGTTTAGGAAGTTTAGGGTTACCACAGGATAAGGCTGGCAATAAGAAGGATGCTTATCATATGTTGGATGCCCAAAACGGTGGACGAACCTCTCTTACTTCTTAGAAGCCCGACTCAAGAAGTCCAAGCTTCCTTGACCAACGTCCAGGATCCTCCTGCGGCTGACCTCGGGCTCAAAAGTACTTGCGGCGGAACCAACAGCACCAGCAGCAGTAGCGATAGAGGCAGCTGTCACCATACCAGTTATCGCAAACGCAGCAGTAAGAACAGCAGCGGCAGCAGCAGGAGCAGCAGCAGCAGCAGCAGCGGCAGCAGCAGCAGCAGCAGCAGCAGCAGTGGCAGCATCAGTAGCAGTAGCAGTAGTAGTGGCAGTAGTAATAGTCGTCGTCGTAACCGCCATAGCAGTCATGCTGGTAGCGGCGGCGGTAGCTGTAGCGGAGTGTAACGGTCGAAGCAATACGCATGATAGATTTGATGGATGCAGCAAGTTGCTAGCTGCTGGTGCTGCTAGGTTCAGGCGGTCAGCTCCCCTTCGGTCACCTGTCAAATACCTCACACTGACGGCGTGCTTCGCTTAAACGACTTGGTAAACTAAACCCAGGGCGCATGGGCCTCTCCTCAATTGACGACTGAAAACTCCCAACGAGACTCACGTGCCAAATCCTTCGTCACCCTGGGCAGCGCAACAATACGGGTTGCGAGTTCCTGCCTGTCGGCTATGTCGTCTGTTCACCCCACGAGCTCGACATTGGAATTGCTGCTGCTACAACGTCGGAGCTAATAGACCAAGTAGCGGAAATGCTCGGCAATACCCGTAAGCCCCAAGGCCCTAACACTTGAAGCCCCCAAAAATTCCCGGTAAAGCACATATCATACGGACCTGAATCTAAGGTTAGAAGTATGGGGCCCTGATATGGACCCTTAGGCCTTTCTAGGGACCCTTCAGAGTACATATAGGGTATATAGTAGGTGTAAGAGGATCCCAGGGTCCCATGGTTTCAGCCTTAGGCTGAAAAGATCGGAAGACGCCTATGAAAGCCCAGTCGCTGCTGGGCTGTTGTAGAACGGGCGCTGGGCCAGCGGCGGCCACCGCACCGGCCAAGTCTTGCGGAGGAGGCACGAGGTCGGTGCGAGGCAAATCCTGCGTTCAAAGGGGTTATGCTCCAGATGGGGCTTCATGACGGGTTTAGTATAGGGGCCTTAGTAATTAGAATCCTAGGATACTGCGTGCTGTGGTCGATTTTTCGAACGCCTTGACAGAAGCAGAGAGACAGACAGACAGACCGACAGACTGCCAGGCAGGCACAGACAGACACTGAACGAGTTGCCTGGCGCGTTCTCTTGACATGTAAGTTTAGCTTTGGCAGTGAGAGAGACGGAATTCGGACCAGCCGGAAGAGCTGGTCAGACACGTTATTTACGATACAAAAACGAGGGGCGATGGTTCCTGGGAGAGGGCTACCATATCCATATTGGTATATATTCATATACATATTTATATGGTCATTCATTTGTTTATTTATATATACATATGTATATATATACATATATAAATTCTGCATTCAACTTTAGATAGATAGATAGATAGATAGATAGATAGGGGCCTGCGGAAGGGGCCGCGGCAGACTGGACGCGGCGTTGGGTGTCATCCTGGGCACGTCTTAAGGGGTTTAGGGCTTAGGGTCTAGGGGTTTAACTAAGCTACTATAGCAACGAGAGTATGCGACACTAAACTTAACCTACTATACCGACAAAGATATTATTCACTTCGTGTGCCGTTTAACATGTATCATATATCACTCCATTGTACTGTATCTCCCTGCTGCTGTATCTTGACTGAAATTCCGAAAACCTGCTGACCCCCAAACCCCCAAACCCTGAACCCCCTAAAAACCCTTGACCCTAAAACCCTAAGGCTAAAACCTGAACCCCTATAAACCCTTAACCCTCAAACCCTCAGGCTAAACCCTAAACCCTAAGAAACCCTTAGCCCTCAAAACCCTAAGGCTAAACCCTGAACCCCTATAAACCCTAAACCCTAAAACCCTAATCCCCTAAACCCTAAACCCAAAGCCCCTAAACCCTATGAGCCCTAACCCTGAGGCTAAACCCCTAAATCCTAAACCCTCAAACCCTCAAACCCTGAACCTAAACCCCTATAAACCCCTATAAACCCTAAATAAAGCTAAACCCCTAAACCCTCTCACAATAAGAGACCCAGCAGCTGCTGGGCCGCTCCCATCGGGAGATTCCACGTCTGAGAAAGCTGGGACAGCTGAGGTTGCGATGCCTCAGGGCGGAGCAGGGCTCTAGGGTTTAGGGCTTCAAGGGCTCTAGGGCTTAGGGCTAAGAGGGTTTAGGGCTTTAGGGTTTAGGGCTTCAAGGGCTCTAGGGTTTAGGGCTAAGAGGGTTTAGGGCTTTAGGGTTTAGGGCTTCAAGGGCTCTAGGGTTTAGGGCTAAGAGGGTCTATAGGGCTTTTCGGTGCCTTAAGGCTTCAAAGGCTCTAGGGCTTAGGGCTACGAGGGTTTAGAGCTTTTCGATGCCTTAGGGCTTAAGAGCTTTGGGGTTTTTTGGTGCCTCAGGGCTTAAGAGGGGCCTTAGGGCTTGTCTTTTGTTTAAGTCCTCGTATTTCAATCCTTATAGTAACCCTTGTAGACTCCGATAGCCCTTCCTGATGAATCCCCTGAAGCCTCTAGACTCAGAAACACCCAAACCGCCCAAATTCTAAACCTTGGGTGCTGCCCCCATACAGTAACAGTCTATAATAGGGCTACTATTAAGGGCCTAATATATCCATAATATAAATATTATCCAACTGTTACTGAGTGGGGGCAGTACCCAATCTAAACCGTAAGACACGACCTGCGGCTGCCATGGAGGGGGAGGAGGCGAGAGAAGCGGAGCCGGGTAAGCGCACGCTCCACGCGCGGCCGGCCCCGTAGACAGTGCATCCGTCCCCATGATACCTCCAGGGCTTAGGAATTCAGACTAGAGCGCTGCAACTCTAGACCTAAACCCTTTTTGAACCCGGAGCTCTCTCCAATCAGCCGGGAGCAATGCCCAGAACCCCAAACCCTAAACCCGAAATCCTAAAGAGTACGACTCAGGGGCCTAGAGAGTGCTCGTGACCAGCGGCCCGCCTGGTCCCTGTCCGGACACTCCCCCGACGCCTGAGACGCCAGGCATGCCTGCGACGGAGCGCCCCATTTTTTTGCCTCCTACTTAGCAAGGACGAGCCCGCATTGCAGGGTTTAGGGTTTAGGGCCCCATTGTTTAGGGCTTAGGGTTCCAGAGGGTTTTGCTTCATAGGGCTTACAGGGCCTTCATGTTTGTCGCTGGTGCTAGGGCTTGATGAACTTTATTAAGGCTTAGATGCCTCGCTGTTGAGTGCCCAAGCCCAAAAACGGTCTCCGATCCAAATCTTGTAGGACCATGAAGCCCTGAAAGGTTTCACGCTGCCTGATTAATCTGAGGCTGGGCTAAACTCCTTCAACCTAGGGTTTGCGGTTCTTTGGCGAAAGAGGAGCTCAGGACGTGCTGCCTCTCAGCCGCTCGACAGGGCACAGACGGTACGTAGTCATCGTCTAACTCGTTTACGTAGGGGTTACCTATAGTCTCCATTGTAATTTCTTCTTCGGGTTACCTTATAGGATCCGAAGTATATCTTGGGTTTAAACCAAAACGGGAACTACAATGGAGACTCTATAGGTAGGGTTAAGGTTTAGGCTAGGTCGCGCACTTTTGGTTTCACGGATGTAAACCGTGAGAGGTCGAACACGGCTAGACCCTGAGAGTTTGGGGCGCGAGGACTGGTTCCTACTTTGCAATTTTCGACCCCACGCCTGAAATTTAGGGGCCTGAAGAATTCGTAATTTCTCGCAAGACCAAGCTACTGCTGGAAAGGCTGCAGACGCACAAGCCTACAGTCACGACCAGAAAACATCCCCAAAGCTACTGTAGGAGCCTTAGTAATTGGAATAGGGTTGGGGGATATATTATGCCATAAATATTATAAGGAACCCCAAATTAGTATCGGTAATTATTTCTTATAGGCCCCTATATTACAGACTCTCAGGCCGATTAACGCAACCCAAGCCCTGCCCCCAATACCTTTCCAATGCAAACCCTGCACATGTAACCAAACTTAGCTCATCATACGGCAGACCCTCTGGACTGCATGGACGTATGTAAGTGTGTGCGCGTGTAGGCGGGCAGGTAGGCAGGAAGTTTAGGTAGGTAGGTAGGTAGGTAGGTAGGTAGGTAGGTAGGTAGGTAGGTAGGTAGGTAGGTAGGTAGGTAGGTAGGTAGGTAGGTAAGTGGGTAGGTAGGGTGACTCATGCACATAAACACGGCTAACTTCACTACTAGGAAGAACCCTAACAACGCCAAACACTCAAACTTAAACTCAACTGCCCGTCCTGAATTAAATCGTTCAGAAACAAAACAACGTGTATCGCATAGTAATGACGCTCTACAGCTACATAGGCACCCCCTTAACAAGTGACGTTGGGTTTTGGGATAGAACATAGCAGTAGTTACTAATAAAACCCAACGGAGCAGTGTTGGCAACTCTTCGGCTCCCCATATTACTACTGTTGATGATACAAATCCTGCATTACCCATCATAAGGAATATCATTACCATAATCCCCATAGATCAGGGTCCTTAAGGTCATGCAGGATTTATATCATCAAGCGTAGGCCGTCCAGGGCGCCGGAGATGTTTGAGAACCCTTGTGGCGCCCCACGCAGCATGAGACCGCGCTCTGCTGCCGCAGCCTGCATTTCTTGTCCGAGGAGTTTGGTATATAGAGGTTTCCGAGAATAGGGGACCCTGATATAGTATCCTAAATAATAGGATCCTTATTATAAGGACCCCCAAAATGTCGTACCCTAGTTTTCGGAAACTCCATATGGGGCCTAGAAAATTGAAATAGAGTTTTGAGGTTCAGCAAACGATAAGTCATGATAGGAACCCCAAGGAATAGCATTGGGAGTTATTTAGGCATCTACATTACCAGAGACTTTGGACCGAGAAGCAGGTATACTGTGTGCATAGTGCATACTTGCAAGTATTGGGGTATGACGGATACCCTTTTCTACGGCAGGAGTGCCCGCCCAAAACTCTAAACCGCGATGGTTTACTGGAGGATTAAATGACAAATCTCTTAAATCTTGCAGCCTCCAGGCGCCAAGCCTCGAGGCTAAACACCCAAACTCCCAAAAACAGAACAACCGAGCCGGTCTCTTTCCTTTCAGGCTTCGGTTGATTGTGGGTAGATTTCGGGTGTCTTCCCGATCTCTTGAACCCGGGCTCGGCCTTCAACGCTTCGGGCTGTAGTCGTGCACATGGGGTTTAGGGTTTAGGGTTTAGGGTTTAGGGTTTAGGGTTTAGGGTGGACACATAAGGAGGGCTGAATTTCTCCGTCGTCATCCTAGCTGCAACACTTAGAGGTTCGGAAAGCGTAAGAAACTAGGGTCGTAAGTTGTAAGTTCTTTAATTAAATTAGGGGCTTAACTACATATAACTACAGTTATACCTTATACCATACTAACACCCTAAACCCTAAACTCTAAATTCTAGCTCCCCTGACAGCCGTGCGAAGGAAGTCTTGAGCAGACCCTGGACTCATACTCGAGCCCAGAAGCGGTTAAGGGTCTAGGTTGTAAGGGGGCAGGGTTGAGAGTTTAGGGCTTAGGGTTCGGGTTTAGGGTTTAGGGTTTAGGGCTTAGGATATCTAGCATCTTGGGCTTAGACGACCCTTTTGGCAGCCTTCTGTCGCCCGGAACTGCCGTCTCCGTTAGACCCAACAAAGATAAAACAGTTATGCTTCCGGTGCCGCGAAGCCCTGCATACTCACAACCCAGATGGTAGCACATCACAAAGCTAAACCTTGACTCAAAAATCCTAAGCTACCTGCAGGAAACCACTACTCCTAACCTTGAAACTTCGAGGCGCAGAGGCAGCAACAAAGCTACATATACAGACCCTATAATACATGTATGATCTACTTGGTGCATCCTGCACGACCGAGCTCGATCCCAAAGCCTTGCGAGCCCGACATCGGACCAATATGCCGGGCTCCAGCTTAAATCCCAAATCCTGACGGAAGCCCCTAACACCTAAACTCCACATGGCTACTAAGAGCTCAGAAAGACTCTTGAACCTGCAGTCCGGCTCCTTTACACTGGATCCTTGTGTGGTTTCTGCATGAGCTGACTACTGTAGATCCCTGACTGATATACAAATTTCCGTTCTTGATGGCCCTTGGAACTAGGATCGAAGGGAGAAGGGTACATAAATCGGAGGTCTACAATCAAACACACCTCTAGAAACCCGATCTCAAAACCCTTGCCCCCTCTGAACCCGCGGCCCTAAACCTTTGGGGTTTAGTTTTCTTAACAGCCCTGCTGCACCCTGAAAAGCCCTGATAAATGAGACTTCACCTCAATCTCAGCCGAAAGCTAGCGGGCTCGTTTTAAGGCTTTCAAAACCTTCACACTTGCTGCAAGACTAAACAAGTCCTAAACCTTTCACCCGACAAGCCCCAATAAACGCACTCCTAAACCCTTATAGTATCCCCAAAAGGAACCCTCAAACCCCTATAGTATCCCTTAACGGCTCCCCACAAAGCCGAAATCCTTTAAAGGAACCCTTGTAGTTAGAGCCGTCAAGGCAACCCTTAAATCCAGCAACACCGGCCTGCGCCGCTGCCGCCTGGGCCGCTGCCGCCTGCGCCGCAGCCCGCGCAGCCTGCGCCTGCGCCTGCACCTGGGCCTGCTGCCTCGGGATCCAAGGGTTTAGGGGTTTAAGGTTCTGGGTTCAGGGGTTTAGGGTTAAGGGGTTTAGAGTCTTTTTGGCCAGGGGTTTAGGGTTTTGGGTTTTGGGGTTTAGGGGTTTAGGGTCCCGGTTGTTGTTGTTGTTTTTTTAAGTGCAATGGCCCCTTTTCTGTAGGGCTCAGGGGTTTAAGGTTTTGGGTTTAGGCTGGGTAGAATCTCTGTCGGCCGGGGGCCTTTATAAAGATTCCCATAAAGCTAATAAGGCTTCCTAGACGAGCTTAGTATACGGTTTAGGGTAGACAGGGTTTAGAAGAAGCCCAAGAAAAGCGCAAGTTTCGGGTCTAGGCTTTCGTTTAGGAGTTTAGGGTTTATAACCCTTTTTTTGAACCCCTAAACCCTAAACCCTAAAGCCCTAAACCCAGGGTTTTGGGGTTTTGGGTCTATGGGGCCTCAGGCCTATCTATGGTGCCCTATATCGACCGTAAGCGCCGGAACCCAATCCCCTCTTTTCACTAAACCGGGTTTATAGGGTTTAGGGGTTAGGGTTTAGGGCTTAGGGTTTAGGGTTCTTTACGATGTATTAAGCAGGCTTATATAGGGCCTCTTGGGACCTACCTTTCGGGGCATTTAGGGTGTCTTTGGGCTTTGGGAGCTTCAGTAAAGCTGCCTCGGGGTCTCTTCTTTAGGGTTTTGCGGTAAACGGCTTAGAAGCTTTTGGGGTGTCTTGCTGGGCTTGAGGGGCCTTGGATACCTGTATTAATTAGGGTTGACGGAGCATTGTCACTGAGGGCTAGTAGCTAGTAGCTATGCCTTCTTTCTGTGAGGGGCCTAAGGGATAAACTGTCGGCTTCCAGCTGAGAACGTGAGACCCATCGTTCAAGGGTTTTCGTGGCTTCTTGTTGTTAATGTAGGGGCCCTTAGTAATTAGAATAGGGTTTTGGGGTATACTCTATTATAGTTATAATAACCCCCAAACTAGTATAGGTAATCATTAAGGCTCCTGTATTAGGCTCTTCTTCTCCTTGTTACAGTCGGAGTTTTAGGGCTTCGGGTTCTCCATCTTAAGAGATGGTGTAGAATGAAAAGAAAATCTGACCAAAAAGGCTAGCGGCAGCCAAAGCAACTCCTGCTGCAGCTGCCCTTGAAGGCGCATCTCCAAGCTAGCTTGTGCACATGCATTGATAGCTGCTTTCTTGGCCAACTCCTCTTGCTCTTGCTGATGGCTGGGCATCGGCTGCATCGCTTGCAGGGGCTGCATGTTTTGCATGTTCTGGATGGGTTGCTGCTGGTTGGATTGCGCCATTTCAAGGCACCACCTCATCAGATCCTCCAAGTTGGGATCCGTGTCTTGGTGCACGATGCCCAGCTTCACAGATCTCGTGAAAGCCAGAGATCGGAGTTCCTTGCTCTTGAAGTTCCCAAGCTGTGAGGCAACTGTGGACGCTAGTTGGGATCGGAGGCGCTCCAGCTGCGGACATTGCACGGCGGCTCGGAAAAATACCACGAGCGCCGCATGGTCCGATGCCTCTCTTCTTCAACAACCAGGCCCAAAAAAAGTTCGAACTTTTTAGGATAGACCTATAATACATAAGGCCAAAAAGTTTAAAGTTAAACCCTAAACCCTAAACCCTAAACAAAAAAGTTTAAAGCTCTCCCACTGGCTATCTAAGATGCTCTAAGTCTGGCCATGACTTGCTGCTCCACAGCAGCGAGCAGCGAAGGATGGAGATGGATTCCTGCGTTGTGGATCTTCAGATTTCAGGGCCTGGGTTTAGGGTTTAGGGTTGAGGGTTTAGGGTCAGATTTCAGGGCCTGGGTTTAGGGTTTTGGGTTTAGGGTCAGATTTCAGGGCCTGGGTTCAGGGTTTAGGGTTTAGGCTTGAGGGTTTAGGGTCAGATTTCAGGGCCTGCAGCACCACTACTGCGTTAGTGTTCGCGGTTAAAGACCATGAGGGAAAACAGAAAGTTTACCAAATTGCTGCGTAGGTTCGTAACATGCCAAAGGATGATACGATGTTGGCTAATGACTGGTCGGAGAATAGCGTGATTTGCTCTTGGCACCAAGGTGTGATGGCGCTAAAAAACATGGAGATTTGCAAAGGAATCTGAGGTGGCGCAGAGAGATCGTAAGCCTCTGACTCAGCGGAAAAGATTTTCGCTACGGCATGGGCGGTCGATGCCACCTCCTGTGGTTTGAAAGACGTGATGAAGGGCAAGCAGCCGGGAATCATGTCCATAGCCTCAGAAACAGCTTTCGGAGGCCATGTTAATATGCCCTGGAGCCCTTAAGCCCTAATTAAACCCCAAAAATCCCTCCACCATTATATGCCATAAATACCGAAAAAAGCAGATGGTTCCAAGTGGCGGCTTGCCTAGCTGCGGGATGCTTCCGCTGCAACCGTGCCTGGGTTCTTTGCACGTGAAGGCGAGGTAAATCGGGTAGGTCCGCATCCCCAAACCCTATAAACCCCCAGCTTTTTATAGGTTTCGGGTAGGCCGAATCCCCAAACCAGTTTAGAACCCTCCGCTTTTTCAGGGGCACGGCCCACTATATTACTATCGAAACCGGAAGGCCTGAGCCCTGCTGTACTTCCCAGCCTCGACCCTGGACTACGTACTACGTAATGTCTTTCAGCAAACTCTGAAGAAGAGAAACCTCGAAAAAGCAAAACCATAACAACACATGAAGGTGACATGTTCCAGCTTAGATGATCGGGAAAACGAGAAACAAGCTACTACGGGAGGTTACAGCTCGTCAGCTGCTAGAACACCAAGAGGTCGGACCCCCGAACTGCTAGACCCTAAACCCCTAAACCCGAAACCTCCAAACCCAAACCCCTAAACCCCTAAACCCTAAACCCTGAACCCTAAAGACCTTCTGTTAAACCAGGATCTGAACCCGTTCAGCTGGGAAGTCGGCTTACACCCGTGCTCCAACCCTCAACCTCAATTCCTTTACTCCTTTAGGGCCTATAGGGCTCCTTAAAGGCGTTTATAAGGGCTTCTATAAGGGTACTTTTAGGGTTTAGGCTTTAGGGTTTAGGGCTGTAAGGGCTTCTATAAGGGTACTTTTAGTGTAGTTCTACCTCCGGCAAACCCTTAGCCCAAGCCCCGAAGAAAGCCACAGAAACCTTGTGGCTGAAATGTATTTAGGGTTTAGGGTCTAGGGTTTAGGGTTTAGGGTTTAGGGTAGTAACCTTGGCTGACTTCTGAACCCCTCCTTTTGAAACCGGACTTGATGACTGCCAGCATTGCCTCTTCTGCCTGAAAAGGTAAACCTTTCAGGGTACTTATTATCGTTCCATATAGAAACCCTAACAGTATTAAAGTCCTAAGAGCCAACCAGAAGAAGGCCAAGTAACGGCAGCCCAAAGGATGTTGGCCACATGCTGCGGCTGCAGTTGCATGCCCCTCGCGAGGATCAAGGCCTTGTGGAAGAAGGCCTCGCAACTTGGAGTATTCCTCTCTGATTTCGGCAAGGAGCTGCGGAATATTCCCTTTGTTTTTCAACATTTCTACCCGAAACCTTACACCCTTAAAACCCTACTGTATATTTCTACCCTAAACCCTAAACCCTACTGTAACGAATATTGGGCCCTAAACCCTAAACCCTAAACCCTTTGAGGGGATTGGGGGGCTCCCGGGCCCCTCAAAAGTCCAGTTCCCAGCTTCTGGATTTCACGGTTGCTGAGTACCCTGGCTGGCTTAGGGCTTCGGGTTTGGGGTTTAGGGTGTAGGAGTTTAGGGTTTAGGAGTTTAGGGGTTTAGGGGTCTAGGGGTTCGGTTTTAGGGTTCAGGGGGTATCGGCGCTCACACTCGTACACTCCAGGCGAGGCATGTGGCCGGTTTACACTCTCACAACTCGGACAATCCAGGCGAGGTCTCAAGCGCAGTCATGTGGCTGGTTTGGGGTTTAGGGTTTAGGGGGCAAGTTCATAAAAGGGGCATCAAAAAGATTCGTTTCGTTCGCGTTATACTCTGGTAATTATTGTGACCTCCATGCATGCTATGCTAGCTGGTTGACCTTCAAGCATTTGTTGCAGGCTTAGACAAACTCGTATTGATTGCGTTACGTACAGGTACAGGTAGACTGACGTTTCAGGATGCGAAGACGAACACCAAGATACCACACGACAGAAGCATGCTTCCCACAGAAGCCCCTAAAGCTCGAAATCTACCCACGGTGTTGCAATTTCGAAAGGAAACATCACCACAACCATTATGGCAGGGGACGTCTCCTTCGGGAATGTTGTTTGGCACATGGGAGGGTCCCTTGTAGTAGGGTCCTTTCTTATGAGGGTGCCGTGCTAGTTTGGGGATCTAACAAGGGACCCTAACCTAGAGAACTACCCACCAACATCACCACGAAGCCCCTCCATAAGGATCCCGATGACGAGAACCTGATCCTGAAATCCCCATTGCCTCCAGGTAAGATTTGTTTAGGGCTTTAAGGCTAAAGCCCTAAACCCTAAACCCTAAAACCCTAAACCCTGAACCCTAAGACAACCCTCAGAATGCCCGAGAATGACGGACGGTTGTCAGTTCCGAGCTCCAGGCCTCGTGGTAAAAGTCATTACTCGCAAAGCCCCAAAAGGTATTGGAGAGCTCCTGCAAGATGACATGCACCCTAAACCCTGAACCCCTCAACCTTTTGAAACCCTTAAGCCCTTGATTAAAGGAAACTACAGGTGGGGAGTTTAGGGTATATAGGGCTTCTATAAGGCTTCTATAAGGTATATAGACCTTCTATAAGGCTCCGAAAACGGTAACTACCCACCTGAAAATGTCCTAGACTTGAAGAACCCTAAACCCATAAACCTTAAACTTTAAACCCTGAACCCCTAAACCCTAAACTGCCACGGTGTCGGGTTTAGGACCTGGGGCTCGGGGTTTGCAGCTAGAGCTTAAACTCTCGGCTCGGAGCTTGGGGTTTGGGGTAACTTCCTCAACCTTTGACCCCCACCTTAGCGCCCTTGCAACCATAATGAAAGTCTTATGTTTAATAAGCCCTTGGAGTGGTATAACAATCCCCTAAACCCTAAACCTTTTTTGAACCTAGGCTCTGATCATCAGCTAAAACCCGAAAACTAGACCCTAAACCCTAAAATCCTTTCGTCCTAAGAGCACCAAAGCCAAAGCCCTCTGAGCTGGACACGAACAACATCGTAGAACCCTCTTGTCTGTTTGGGTGAGCATCTGAGGTTAAGGGGAAGAGATTAGGGTTAACGGCTCAGGGTTCTAGGGTTTAAGGTTGGAGAGATCGTGAGGGGGTTGATGTGGAGAGTTTAGGGTTAAGGGTTTTAGGGTTTAGGATTAAGGGTTTGAGAGATCGTGAGGTCGCCTCCTAGAATCCCAACGAATCTTTGCTTCTTGAACCTTCGAGTTCGAACGACCCTCCATGTCGACCTCAACCTACTAAAAAAAACTTCGGAGTTTAGGCCGATTTAGGGGCAAAACTTCCAGATCCCGAAAAGCGCAAGAAAAGACTTCATTAAACAAACCTCACAGAAGGCGAGTTAGTATCTTGTCGCGTAAACATGCGTAAACCATAACTCTACAGCAGTACTCCGAATAACAAGCAAGGGCAGCCACAAGTCCCCCCAAAGCCGATAATCCTAAACCCCCGGCCAAGATCTCCTGCGTCTTGAACTCTTCGAGACGTGGTACGCACTCTGCTGCGATCATCTTGAAAAGCTGATCGTCACGGTGCCCCACCGTGCCGTAGGCCCAGACCTCAGCGTCTAGGGTTTAGTATGATTCAGGGTTGTGGACTTCAGGATTTAGGACATTAGGAATTTGGGCTTAGCGTCGGTGTCTGGCACCTAGTCCCTAAACCCAAAACCCTAAACCCCAATGGTCTAAGTTGCATGAGCCAACCACCGATGATGTCGACCCGTGCCGGGAGCTTCCCTGAAGCCAACACAAACCCTGAGGGTCCATGTACTCATATGGGTAGTTGTCAAAATTATGGTCCCTTTTGGGGTACCCTAAATAATAGGTGCCGTATTATAATAAGGACCCAAAAAGGGACCATAATTTTGACAACCACCCATATAGTATATACATTTGGCCCCAAAGTACCTATATAGGGACTACTTTCAGGCCCTTAAAGTATATGCTATTTGGGCACATGGACCCTTCGGGAAAGGTGGGGGCCACGTTCTAACTCTCCGTCTCCACCCTTTGCGTCATAGGGCAGCTGGGTGCGGCCAGGGAGCGATGTTGGCCAGCTCCTGTGTCGGATATACGCTTTGTGGTCGCAGGCTATGTCACTTCAATGAACATGGAACCCACAGGGTCCAAGTACTAGTATAGTATATACTTTTGGGGCCCAAATACCTACTAAGTACCTACTATAATGGTACTTGGACCCTTTGGGGAAGGCTCAGGCACCCTTCGCTTCCGATCATGCGCCAACATCTTCAAAGGTTTGATGCAAACGAACGACGACAAATAGACAGATTCATATTTGCTTCCTTGTTTCGGCGCTGAAGACGACATCACATGCCAGAAACTCAGAGAAGTTGCTCCGAAATAGACGCCGGAACCCCAATCCCAACCATCCAACCCATCAGCTCTTTGTTCACCCGGTCCTGGCTATTGGCCGTCGGTAGGCACGTCTGCACCTCTTTGGCAATCGCCCGGAACAGTCTCTGGCTGGCCTGCATGCAGTGTGGCATCCGCAAAACCACTTAGCTTGGAATCTGAAAGCAATCTCTGAACCTTCATACCCCACAAACCCCAACAACCCTGAACCCTATAGACCCTATGAACCTTCAGCCCTAAAACCTTAAAACCTAAAAAAAACCCAATCCCAAAATCCTAAAACCCCATCCTTTCGCAACAGGCCTGCGAATTTGAGAATTGGAGGCCCGGAGCCCGACTTAAAAGCCTGAGCCCGACATCCCTGGGCAAAAGCTTCAAGCGACGTGCAAATGTTTCTGCATCATTGTCGGATCTAGAAAACCATGGCCCTTGGGCTTCAAACACCAGATTTAGGGTTTAGAGGTTCAGGGGTTTAGGGGTTTAGGGTTTAGGGTTTTAGGGTTTAGGGTCCCGATGTCGCGCTTCGCATCCGCAAAACGTTGGGATCTGGGCCACGAGTTGGGCAGCGACATGGATCGGTTGGCCTCTGACTTCACGTGCCTGTTTCTTCCTCTGTGGAGGAAAATCCCAAAGGTATCCCGAAGTTCCGGTATCCCTAGGAACGCTAGAAGCCCCCGGCCCTACACACTATAAGCCCCGACCCCTTGAAAGTCCGGCAGCTCAAAATCCTGCCCTAAACCAAGTGCAGTGCCTGCTTGGCTGTGGCAAAGGCCCACGCCGCGGTGGCAAGGCTCCGGAAACCGGCTCCCGGAACGCAGGACCTCTTAGCTGCATCTCTACCTTAAGAACCCAAAACCCACTTTTTGCAGGTTCTTATTATAAACCCTACTATGAGATTTATAGGGACCCTACAAAAAGTTAGGTTTTGGGTTCTTAAGGTATACTTGAGGTTGGAAACAAGGGCACTATTGACCGACACCCTAAAGTCTAGAGGCCTTGTAGATGCTACGGGATCTAGCGCTGCGGCTCTTATTAACTAGCATAGGGCCAGGGTTTGGGGATATATTATACTATACGTATAATAAGGAACCCACCAAAAATAGTATCGGCAATTATTACGACCCCTATATTCAGCCCTAAACCCCCAAAATCATAATAAGGAGCCCCCAAAATAGTATTGGTAATTATCATAACGAACCCCAGAGTAGTATTGGTAATTACAAAAAGGAATCTCCAAAAATAGTATTGGTGATTATTCAAACTACTTGCTGCGCGTGTTTGGCCCCAAGTCCATGCGGAATGAGTCGACCCTAAAACCTAACCCCTAAACCCTAAACCCTAAAGAACCCTAAACCATAATTAAAACCCTAAAGCCCTGAACCCTAAAGAGAAGCGGAGCTCCAGCTCCGAAGCTCAGAGCTTCTGGCCATGAAGCTTTAAGGGGTTCATAGGGCTTAGGGTTTAGGGTTTAGGGTTAGAATTTAGGGTCTTAAGTTAAAAGGCTCATAGAGTTCATCGGGTTTAGGGTTAGGATTTAGGGTTTAGGATTTTATAGGGCTCATAGGGTTTAGGGTTAGGATTTAGGGTGTTAAAAGGCTCATAGAGTTCATCGGGTTTAGGGTTAGGATTTAGGGTTTAGTTTAAGCACACAAAGAATACCTTGATAGCGCCCATATAGCCAGTTTAAAACTCCATTAAAAAAAACAAGGCCCATGGAACCCTAAACCCCAATCCCTACACCGACCTTTAAACCCCCGTTGAACTGGAGCTACCTTGGGAACCTACGTTTGCCAGCAGTGCCTCCTTCCTGAAAGGTTGGGGGAACCCCCCTCGGCCCAGTGTTTTGTTCTGGGACCCGCTCCCGAAATCTTGGGATCAGGTCATCACGTCTACGGGTTATTTCCCCTAAGGGTCCATGTACCCAAATAGTATATACATTGGCCTTAAAGTAGTCCCTATATAGGTACTTTGGGGCCAATGTATATACTATTTGGGTACATGGACCCGAAGGGTTCGGAGATGTGTTAGAACATCTGGTGGCAGGAGTTGGGCAGGAGTTAAGCTGGTCCTGATTGCTATATGGGGGTTTCCGAAAATAGGGGACCCTAATATAGCACCCTAAATAGTAGGACCATATGATGACAAGATAGAGGAAACGTACTTGGGCACCGGAAAACCACCCCCCCCGATCGTTAAGGAAAAACTTGAAACCATCACGTGGATTAGGATACTTCTCCCCCTTCAGTGCTTGTTGTTCAAGCGCCCGCGACGTCTACGATAACATGTCCATGAGTCCTGCCTTCTGCAACATGTCTAAAATAGTTGGAGCGCTAGGACTCCTATTTACCAGAGCTCTGTTGTCCTCCTGTTGCCCTTAAGCGCCCTTGAACCCACAATAAGTAACTATTTTCTAACAAGTCCTCGGAGTTTTTTTTTTGAGATTACGATAGAGCTTTAAAATGGTTCCTAAGAACACTAAGTATTGCCTGCATTACACGGCAGCGATGACTACAGTATCCTACAGCCAAATATCCTATAAAACCTCATCAAAACCTTGTAGAATCCTCGAAACCCTCTGAGAACCCAATGAAACCGCCGTAGAACCCTGTAGGACCCAATGCAACCCGTACTGAACCCCAAAGAATCCTACGCAAGTAGAGCCGTATGATGAAACCCGTGATATCCTTATTGAACCCTCTGACACCCTAATAGAAACCTTGGCCCAAGGAGCATGAGGCGGCCCGTGGCGGCCCGGAACAACGGACCGACCTGATAGACAAGGCTGTCAGGTTGAGGGTTCATGGTTTAGCGGGGTTTGGGGTTTGGGATTCGGGATGTGCAGGTTTGGGTTTTAGTTTTGGGTTCTGGGTTTGCGAACCCAGGCTATCAGGCTTAGCATGGTTTGGGATTGAGGGCTGGTATGTAGAGTCTAGGATGTTGTGTCTTTTCACTGCTCTAATTTTTTAGGGCTTGGGTGTTAAAACGGTACGGGTTAAGGCTTTCTCGGTTAAGGTTTATAATAGGTTTATAAAGATGGTGGAAGGCCTCAATACGTCCCGAATAAGGTTCAGGGCTGCGGCTACTTGTTCGAGATTCAGTTTAAGCTTGAAACATCCCGAGCATGCTTTGAACAAAACAAAGAAACACACTTGTACGCATGCATACATGCAGGTGTGTACGCAATAATCACTCGCCTGTCCGCGCAGAGAGTAGAGCGAGAGAGAGCGAGGGATCGTTGAACAAAGTCTCCACTACCAAAACAATAAGAAACCCGGATGCATGAACAATGTACTGTATATACATGTGTACACTGTGTATATATATATATAGACACATACATACATATGTACATACATGCAAAACCATACATGTAAACACTTGCATCAACGAAGTGACTAACTGATTTATTTTATATTGAACCTGGGACCCTGGCAACAACTATAATTTTGGCTTTTCTGGTTCATAGTAGCCAAAAATTTAACATTATTTTCAAGTACCCCTAAGTATTCACACGCCTGCCCAGCTGTTCGCATATATGTGCGTGCAACACAGACAAAAGCCACAGTCCGCCAACTTCCTGACCCCTAAATGGGCTGAATGGGTAATTGGAGCCTCAATAATAAGAATGGGGTTTTGGTGTATATTATGGTATAATTGTATTACGGAACCCCCACAATAGTATTTGTAATTATTTAGGCCCCTCTATTAGTTCTCTAAATTAGGGTCCCTTTCAGGCTACTTTTTACAAGGGTGCCGTACTATATTGGGGACCTAAAAAGGTATTGGGGACCTAAAATGGAACCCTAATGTAGAGAACTACGCAAATCCTAAACACCTGACAAAGGAATATTCGTTGCTTTCTAGCGGTACGAAAGCAATGCTCCTTAAAGTGAGGATGTTATGTTGACGTCTATAGACCCCAATGCACCGCTTGAAGACACAATTTTTAAATCTTATGTTACTGAACTTCATGAACTGAGTCTTATAAGAATAGTGCAGACAACATTGTCCTGCAAAGGTCCCTTTAACAACTGCGGAGGACATTACTGAAAGGCCATTTGACACTCCAGGTTTGCTTAAAGCACCTTATAGTCAGTGTGCCCATGCAGTCTTGTTAAAAAGACTCGGAAATACAAGGGTGCCGAAACCCAAATACTTATACTATAGAACCCTATAGACAAGGATCCACCGTCGCCATGGTCTCCGCCGTCCCGAGCTTCGCGAAAGACCAAAGAAGGGAGGCAAGCTCGAATGCTTTGAAGTCCTGTCCCATGAGAGCTTAATAACAGTTTTCTACCTTATTTCAAAAGCCCCCCCCCCCCCCCCCGATAGAAACTCAGAAAGTATTTTTA